TTCCTTAATTACTAATAATACCATATATCTATTCATTATTTGCTTTTCTTGGGAAGAAATCAATCATCATTTGTTCATCTACTTATCTTAGTTTACTTTTTAGATGGTCGTTTTTTTGTTGTTGTTGATTGGTTCAAAAAATCAGTTTCTGGTCATCCATGAGGATAAAACAGGGTGTTTACTTACTCTCCCTTCATTAAAAAAAAGGAAGAAAATTGGACAAATCATATAAAACAATTATTTTGAGATGTTGAACAGTTTTGATCGCTATGAGAAGGAAGAAAAGTGAAATAAGAATGTGATTACCTGACTTTCAGTTCTGGGTACATTCTGGACCCTGCTGTAGGGAAGGCACTCTGTAGCAGTACATGGTCTTCTTGGAGAGTTGGAGAAGCAAAGATCAGAACAGAGGTTGACTGAGGTATTGAAAGTTTAAGTTCCCTAGAGAAAGACACTACTGAGAAAAAAGAGGTTCAGTAATTTTGAAAGGCATCTGTTTTTCAGTCTTTACTGAATACTGATCAAACTTTACACATCTGAGCAAAGTATGAAGGGGCTATATGGCCAAACTTCACAGAGTGTGAAATGACTAATCTTCAATCAAGAGTAGAGTCCTCATTCTAAACTCCCAGTATAAAGTAATGACTTAGTAGACTCTTACAGTAGTAATAGAGCTGAATTATCCCTAGAATGTGATATTTTAGTCTGCTCTAACAAAACTTACAAACAAACCTTGAAAGGATCAAACTGATACATGATTTATTTGCCTTCCAAAAAAGTTCAACAGCACATAGACACAGAATAAAATTAATAAAAATGTATGACTACGAATTCTAGAATCCAAGTAAAAAAATTACTAGGCATGTGGACAACACATCCATTTGAGAATCAGTCAACAAAAAGAGATTCTGAAATGACAAGAATGATGGAATTAGCAAAACCTACTACATTTATCAAAATAAACTTTTACATTCAAATATGTAAGGGAAAACATGAACAAAATGGAATATATGAAAAAATAGCTCTATGAAACCTCTAGAAATTGCAAAAAAAATTTTTGAAGTGACAATTTTACTGGATAAGGATAATAATAGGTTAAATATACTGAAGAACGGACTCAAATTGATTTGTGGAAAAAACAATAGAAACTGTACTAACTGAAGTACATACAGAAAAAAAAATTAACAGAGCGCCATTAACCTTTTGGGCTGTGTCTAGAAGATTCACTTTCATTTGAAGTCTTTGAAGGAGAGAAGACAGAGAGAAAGGCAGAGGGTAATCGTTGAGTAACTAATAGATAAAATATCTTCTAGACATGATAAAAATTATAAATCAACATATCCAAAAACTGCAGTAAGCCTCAGGCAGGATAAGTAAAAAGGAAACACACAGAGGTACATCAAAATCAAATTACTAGGAGCCAATAGTGAATCATCCAGGAAAACATTGTGTATGGAGGAATGAACCTAAGAACGACTACATTTATTTCTTTTCAGAAACCATAGAAAGCAGAAAAAAACAGCATTTTTGAGGTTCTTATTAAAAAGTGTGTCAACCTAGGGTTTTATATCCAGCATAAGTATCTTTCAAAAGTAATAGCAATTAGAAGACTTTTCATAAAAGCAAGAGCTGAACAAAATGTATTACTAGTATCCAAGCTAGACTAAATGTTGAACCATATCATATTGCAATTTGTGTCTGTATGAAGGAATGGAGAAAAATGAATGGGAAAGAGATATTTTTCTCGTTTAAAAAAATTTTAAATATCATTAACTGCTTAATACATCATGATTAGGATATCCTTAGAAATGTAAGATTCTTTAACACTAAAAAATAAAAGTAATTCACCATATTAATAGAAAAGGATAAAAGCAATATATTTATTCCAATGGATAAAAAAAAGCA